AAAAAAAAAAAAAAAAAAAAGCTTTTGCACAGCAAAGGAAACCATAAACAAGACAAAAAGACAACCCTCAGAATGGGAGAAAAGATTTGCAAATGAAACAACGGACAAAGGATTAATCTCCAAAATATACAAACAGCTCATGGAGCTCAATATAAAAAACACAAACAATCCAGTTAAAAAATGGCAGAAGACCTAAATAGACATTTCAGCAAGGAAGACATACAGATGGCCAAGAGGCACATGAAAATATACTCAACATCGGGCTTCCCTGGTGGCGCAGTAGTTGAGAGTCCGCCTGCCGATGCAGGGGACGCGGGTTCGTGCCCCGGTCCGGGAAGATCCCACATGCCGCGGAGCGGCTGGGCCCGTGAGCCATGGCCGCTGAGCCTGCGCGTCCGGAGCCTGTGCTCCCCTGCGAGAGAGGCCGCAGCGGTGAGAGGCCCGCGTACCGCAAAAAAAAGAAAAAAAAATATATATATATACTCAACATCACTAATTATTAGAGAAATGCAACTCAAAACTACAATGAGATATCACCTCACATGAGTCAGAATGGCCATTATCAAAAAAGCTAGAAACATTAAATGCTGGAAAGGGTGTGGTGAAAAGGGAACCCTCCTACACTGTTGGTGGGAATGTAAATTGATACAACCACTATGGAAAAAAGTATGGAGGTTCCTTAAAAAACTAAAAATAGAACTACTATATGACCCAGCAATCCCACTGCAGGGTATATACCCTGATAAAACCATAATTCAAAAAGAGACATGCATCACAATGTTCATTGCAGCACTGTTTACAATTGCCAGGACATGGAACCAACCTAGATGTCCATCGACAGATGAATGGATAAAGAAGACGTGGCACATATATACAATGGAATATTCAGCCATAAAAAGAAAGGAAATTGAGTTATTTGTAGTGGGGTAGGTGGACCTACAGTCTGTCATACAGAGTGAAGTAAGTCAGAAAGAGGAAAACAAATACCATATGCTAATGCATATATATGGAATATAAAAAAAAAGGTACTGATGAACCTAGTTGCAGGGCAGGAATAAAGAGGTAGACATAGAGAATGAACTTGATGACATGGGGTGGGAAGGCAAAGCTGGGGCGAAGTGAGAGTAGCATCGACTTTTATACACTATCAAGTGTAAAACAGTTGGCTGGTGGGAAGCAGCAGCATAGCACAGGGAGATTGGCTCGGTGCTTTGCGATGACCTAGAGGGGTGGGATAGGGAGGATGGGAGGGAGGCTCAAGAGGGAGGGGATATGGGGACCTGTGTATGCATATGGCTGATTAACTTTGTTGTGCAACAGAAACTAACACGGTATTGTGAAGCAATTATACTCCAATAGAGATCTATTTAAAAAAATGTTCCTTTAAAAAAAAAACCTACATCTGATCAGAACCCCCTCTGCCCTCACCCTCCAACCCAAGGGCTCCTCTCCACTCCCTGCAGAGCCTGGGCTCTGGGCCTGCCCCCAGGGACACGCCCCCTCCTGCCCATCATGCCAACAGCTTCCTGCCTCAGGGCCAGTGTGTGTCCTGCTCCTTGATCCTCAGGTCACAGATACCACTGCCACCACCAACCATACCTCGCCTCCGGCCCCCAAGAAGGTGTAAAGGGGAAAACTCAGTGTGTTCCTTCCTGTGTAGGAAAAAACCCAGTTGTTCCCGACTTGTCTTTCTTCCCTGTGTATTCCCTTCCCTTCACAGACAACACTTCACTTCTGACGCTTCTGGTCACCAAATGCGTGGAGGATTTTCCCCATGATAACAATTAAGTTTCCGACCCCAGTAGGGTGTCTGAGGATTCGACTGGATTCTGACACTGTCTACCCCAGGGTGGCATCACACCCCACAGGTTAAGGGCTCAGGCCCACAAGAACATTCCCCCCGCCATGTCCCTGACCCCCTTCAGAAGCCTGGGTTTCTGACCGAATTAGAAGTTCCCACGACCCTCTCCTCAGGATCGATTAACTTCTCAATTTTGAAAAGCGAGGGTCTTAGTGGAAGGCCCCTGGATGCCACGGCCCCTCCTGCCCTGGACTGCACAGGGCACTCGCTCCCTTCTTCGAGCTGGATAGCCGCTCAGTACCTGCCACCCTGGCCTTGGGTCCCCACCCAGCAAGGCCTGGGAGTGAGCAGCCACATTTTCCAGCCCTGTGGCGTCCCACCCTCGTCCTTGTTTCTGTGCCCATAGCACCCGGGGCCTCACCATGGAGGTTCCCAGCCAGGCCCAGTAGGGGTCTCACCTTCCCAGAACTCCAGGACCCTCAGGGTGGCCGCCTCTCTACCCATTATGGGGAGGCTGGGGAGTCTGCAGACCCCTCCCCCCAAACCCCACCCTCACTCTACCCCACCCCATCCCCCCTCTGTCAGAAGAAAGGGCCAGGGGCCGAGTGCAGGAGCTGGGCCTTCCTGAGGGCCCCTTCCCTCCAGTTCTGGGTGGTCCCAAGCAAAGGAATCCATCTTCCCAGCAGAGAAATGGACCCACTCCCATCCCTGGGGATGGGACAACTGGTAGGTCAAGTGTCAGGACCCAGCAGGTGCCCGTGGGGCCCTGTCCCTCTCACACAGAGGTCACTCACCCTTAATGTTCCACACTTACCCAACCTAAACTCTCCACACTCACCCCACCAGGCGTGCGCACACACACATCACACACCTCACACACACACACACCACACATACCACACACATCACACACATCACACCACACACACACACACCACACATCACACACACACCACACATATCACACACACACCCCGAGATGCAAGCGCTTTCCACAGCAATGGGGGAGAGGGGGCGGGGCCAGAGCGCAAGGTCGCTGGCGCCTTAACTACACTTCCCAGAAGACTGTGCTACACGGTCGTCCGTGCTAGACGTCAGAGCGGCTCCGGCCCCGATGCCCTCTGGGAAATGCAGTCCACCCCTGCGCGGCGCAAAAGATCCCGGGAGTTGTAGTGCCCGTCTGGTCTGCGCAGGCGCACGTCTGGCGACGGTCGCCCGAGCTCTTTTGTGGCGGCGGCCGTCTTGTGTGAGGTGGGTGAGCTCGTCCGCGCGTCCGGCCGGCCGTCGGTTCGTCAGCCCGTCCGCCCCAGGCCTGTGTGCCGCCTCCGCGACTCCCAGCGCCGGGCGGCAGAGCCCGAGGCCTGGCCGGCCCGCGCGGGCCCGGACAACGTCGGTGACGGGCTGGTGGGGCAAGCGATGGGGCGAGAGCACAGCCCGGGGCGCGGGGCGCCTGCGGAGCCCGCCTGACCCCGACCCGGGGCGCGGGCCGCCCCCGCGGGGCTGCGCGAGGGTTCTGAGCCCCGGGAGGTGGACCCGCCCCGCCCCCGCCCGGGGCGGCCGCCAAAGGAGGGGGCCATGGAGGCCCCGGAGCCCCGGGAGGCAGGTACGGTTGGCTTGTCAGGCCGTGGGCCTGTGGATTTGCACGGAGAGGGCGGGCTGGGTTCCCGAAAGCGTCCCGGATTCAGGTCTCCTCCTCTTCACCGTGGGCACCCCGGGGATGATGGGGACGGGAATGGCGGCGCTTTTCCTCCGTAACGGGAGTGACCCATACACTGAGTAGCAGAATTAGCCCCGATGCCCTATCAGGTTGTGACGAAGTTGGGGCTCCCTTCCTGCCTCCCCTTCATTCTCCCCGTGCTGGGGGTGCCTGGTGGCTGTGGACAGAGCAGCCCTCTTGACTCATTTCTCCTTTCCAGCTCCGTCCTCTCAGGACCCTGTTCTTCCCCTCAAAGAGATTCCAGAAGATAAATTGAGTCAGGGTCTCCTGGAAGGCAGGTCCGAGGTGAGTGGCTGTCTTTTCTTTTTTGAACATTTCGTTGTTTATGTGGAGGGTTGGCACCTTCCTTCGGCCGCCGAGAATCTTTAGTCATCCAAGGACACCCCACACACACACCTGGGGGCCTGTTCTCCAGTCCTCAGGAAGCTCTGCGCGTGGGAACAGGTGCAGGTGACGCCGGGGTGTGCCATCAACATGAGTGTATGTTCCAGCCTGATTCAGTCCAGCCATGTGTCTGTTGCCGAGGACTGTGCTGTGTGCCCAGCACTGTGCTGGGAGCTCTGATGAGTGGTTCTAGTGCCACCCAAGCAAGTAGGTGACAGCTTACATGAGATCACTTCACTTATCTCCACACTCAGGCCCATGGGATGTTTGTAGCAGTTGGTCCTTGTTTGGGGGAGTTTTCCGGGATGGAATTAGGTAGGAGGATGTGGAACAGCTGATGGAAGGGCTGCATTGCAGTGTTGGGGTCAGAGTGATGGTAGGGGGTGTGTCCCTGTGTGCTTTTCCTCTGTACCCAGCTCCTGACATGGGGCCTTCATGGAAAAACTTGGAGTTTTAGAGGATCTGTGGGCTTGACAGGGAATTGGCCCTGGGGCCACTTCTGCAGCTGGGAGAGGTGCAAATCCCTCCTTTTACAGATTTTGGGTTTTGCTCCTCATTTTGTTCCACCACCTAAACTACCCCCACTCATCGTAGTGTTTAGAAAAGTGCGCTGGATAAAGACAGTGTGAGGTGGTGAAAGGTCAGGAGGATTGAGAATCCTTTGATTTTTTTAGGATTTGGCAATTCTGTTAACTTACCACTTGAAAAGTAGAAATGACTGTAAAACATGTATGGTGAGATATGCCCAGCTTCTGTAATGTTAGAATGTGCTGTAGTTCTATAAGACCCTTGGGAGACATAACAAGCACATGCAATACATGATCCTTGATGGGTTATAGATCCAAATATTCTATCAAAGGCATTTAGAAAGATTGAGAAAATTTGAAAATATACTGTATCTTAGATCATGTTGTATGAATATTTAATTTCATGGGTGTGATGATGGCATTGTGATTGTGTCAGAGAACATCCTTAGGAGATACAGGCTGAAGAATGTAAGGTGAGATGTTCTGATGTCTGCAACTTGCCTTGAAAAGGTTCAGGAAAAAGTGGTGTCTGTGTGAGAGTGACCACCTCGGGAGGTACTCCCCTTCTTGTGCACAGATATTATTCCTGAAATACCAGCTTCTCAGGTCTTTGAGTAACTGGTCCTCTCTCCAAAGTACTCTCCCCTCCCAGCAGTCTCATACTACGTCAAGGGTTCTGCTCTGCTGGGACATCCCCCGTGAGCTGTTCTGACTCTTCTGCTAGTTTTATTTCCACATCTGCCTTTTTTTTTCTTTTTAAATAAAGTTAATTAATTTAATTTTTGGCTGCGTTGGGCCTTCGTTGCTGCGCGCAGGCTTCTCTCTGGTTGTGGCAAGTGGGGGCTACTCATCGTTGCAGTGCGCGGACTTCTCATTGCAGTGGCTTCTCTTGTTGCGGAGCACGGGGCTCTAGGCATGCGGGCTTCAGTAGTTGTGGCACACGAGCTCAGTAGTTGTGGCTCGCAGGCTCTAGAGTGCAGGCTCAGTAGTTGTGGCACAGGGGCTTAGTTGCTCCGTGGCATGAGGGATCTTACCAGACTAGTGCTCAAACCCGTGTCCCCTGCATTGGCAGGCGGATTCTTAACCACTGCACCACCAGGGAAGCCCCTCCACGTCTGCCTTTGATTCCCACACCCTTTTGCTTCCTGTCCTGCAAAATGAAGACACACCAGACATGGGCTTTTGCTGGTGGGTTGGTAATACCCCTCAGAAAGTCCTGTGCCAAGGCTCAAATCCTGTCCTGCTCTTGCCTGTTGACACCTCCATACTGAAACCACGTAGCCTCTGACAGTGCTCTCTCGCCAGCACCGCATTGTGATGTCTCTGGAGCTTTGTTTCTGCCCATTTCCTCCTTCTTTCTGCCAGTGCCATCACCATTATGCTTCATCCCTGCATGCCTTAGTTATGGGCACGTTCTCAGCATGTGTCCTCACTCCGACCTTCTCATTTCCCTGAAATCCGGTGGGTTTTTTGGATCAGGTTTATTGAGGTGTAATTTATACACAATAAATTTCTCCAATTTTATATATGTAGGATTTGGTGAGTTTTGGCAAGTGTATACAGTTGTGTAACCAGCACCACAATCACGATATAGAACTTTTCCATCACCCAAAAAGTTCCTTCATGTCCCTTTGAAGCCCATCTTCTCCACCCACCCCCTTGGCATCCAGTATAATTCTGTCTTTTTAAGAATTTCATGTGGAATTATAAGATATGTAGTCTTTGTTTCTGACTTATTTCAGTTAGCATTATGCTTTTGACTTCATTTCCTTGTTTGAATCAGTAGCTTGGTCCTATTGATTGTCTAGTGATATTCCATTTGTTTTAGGTTCCTAGGGCTGCCACAGCAAAGTGCCACAGACTGTGTGGCTCAAGCAATAGAAATTTATTGTCTCATAGTTCTGGAGGCTAGAAGTCTAAGATCAAGGTGTTGATAGGTTTCTTCTGAGCTTCTCTCCTTGGTTTGCAGATGGTGCTTCTCTGTGTCCTCACGTTCTCCCCTCTGTACATGTTTGTGTCCAAATTTCCATTTCTTATAAGGACACTAATTCTACCATTTTAGGACCCATCTTAATGACCTCGTTTACCTTAATTACCTTTTTAAAGGCCTTGTCTTCAAATATAGTCACATTCTAAGGTATTGGAGCTTAGGGCTTCAACATATGAATTTGGAGGGACACAGTTCAGCACATAACATTGTTGCATATGTACTCCACAATTTGTTTATCCATTCACCAACTGATGGACGTTTAGGTTGTTTCCTCGTTTAGGTTATTACAAATAAACCTGCTATAAATATTGGAGTATAAGTATAGATGTGTGTTTTAATTTCTCTTGAATAAATACCCAAGAGTGGAATGGCTGAGTCATATAGTAAATATATGTTTAATTATTGATTTTATTGGTCTTTGCAGAGAACCATCTTTTGGTTTCATTGATTTTCTCTATGGCTTTTCTGTGCTCTTTTTCATCAGTTTCTGGTTATTATTTCCTTTCTTTACTTTGGCTTTTTTTTGATTGTTTGTTTTGATGTGGACCATTTTTTTTAAAGCCTTTATTGAATTTGTTACAATAGTGCTTCTGTTTTATGTTTTTGGTTTTTTGGCCCCAAGGCATGTGGGATCTTAGCTCCCCAACCAGGGATCGAACCCACATCCCCTGCATTGGAGGGCAGAGTCTTAACCACTGGACCACCAGGGAGGTAGCTACTTTGGCTTCTTTTTTTTTTTTTTGAAATGATTTTTTGCTTTTAATTCATTGCATAAAATGCTAATGTCCAAATTCAGGCAGGTAGCTCTTACAACCATCAGGAGCTTCAACCCTGCTAACAGCTAAGTATGCATTTTCTTTTAGCATTGTAGCATTGCTTAATCAAAATAATAAAATAAATAATCAAATCTACAGGAGTAATTATGCAAATATCACCCCACCTACACCAGTGAATTCTTTTTTTTCACAACACACACACACACACACACACACTGTATTTTATTTTTACAAGAGATAAATAAACTGACACCAAGCATTGTAAATGGATGACCACAACAAAAGCAACAATGATTGCAGTTACCAAACACGAAACACACTCATACTATGTCATAATATTGACATTCAGTCCAGTAATTCTCCACTGTAACAGCTCCTTTACTTTGCAGTGAAAATTGATTTGTATATTTTTTGCCTCTGAGTCCTTGTGGGATTTTTTTTTTATTCAAACAGAAAGTCACAAAAATTATAATCATCGTCATCAGTTCACTCAGTCCCATGTAATTAATTTTTTTTTCATCTTGATCTTTTGTTAGCACTTTTATGAATTCATCAGTTTTCCGTTAGAGTTCTGAAAATGCTTATTCATTCAGTTCAGCAGTATAGTCAGTTACCAGAAACCTGTACTTGTCAGAGTCTTTTCCATGAATTCCTTGAAGATGAAACCCTTTTGTAGGAACATTTTTGCGAAAGCATCAGCGTACACCCTGAACTGTCTGTAAATGACAAAAGACTTAAAAATGACCACGGTTAAAGATTTGATGAAAGTTCATAATAATGGAATTGACAAGGAAATTTAGTTATTTCTGAGATATACATTTTAAAGTAATAACTAGAATTATGACTTAACATTATACCAGAACATATAAGATTTTTAGAAATTTCATGTAATGTTTGAAACATTTATATTAACATATTTCCATACAAATAACCAAAGAAAGTTTAGTATTAGTTGTTTTTTTGTTGTTTGTTTTTTTATACTGCAGGTTCTTATTAGTCATCAGTTTTATACACATCAGTGTATACTACTTTGTTTTCTTAAGGGTGAAACTGAGGTATTGATTTGACACCTATTCTCATTAGCATTCAGTGCTATAAATTTACCTCTAAGTCCTGCTTTAGCTATATTCCACAAATTTTCTGTTGTATTTCCCTTTTTTTCAGTTCAAAATAGTTTCTAATTTTTTTGTAATTTCTCCTTCAACTGTGTATTATTCAGGAGTGTATTGTTTAATTCTAAATATGTGGAGAATTTTCTGGGTATCTTTTTTTTTTTTTTTTTTGCAGAGGGGCTGCTTTGGGTCTTCATTGCTGCGTGCGGGCTTTCTCTAGTTGTGGTGAGCAGGGGCTACTCTTCATTGTGCGTGGGCTTCTCATTGTGGTGGTTTTTCTTGTTGCAGAACATGGGCTCTAGGTACATGGGCTTCAGTAGTTGTGGCTTGTGGGCTCTAGAGTGCAGGCTCAGTAGTTGTGGCACACTGGCTTAGTTGCTCTGCAGCATGTGGGATCTTCCCGGACCAGAGCTTGAACCCATGTCCCCTGCATTGGCAGGTGGATTTTTAACCACTGTGCCACCAGGGAAGCCTGGGTCTTACTTTTTAAATTCAATTTGACAATCTGTAGTTTTTACTTGGGATATTTAGACTATTCACATTTAACATAATTATCCATACGGCTGGGTTTATATCTGCCGTTATGCTATTTGTTTTCTACGTCTTGTATCTTTTTAAATTCTGTTTCACCCTTAACGCTTTCTTTTGAGGTAAACAAATACTGTTTTATGATACTTTTTTGTTGTTGTTTTGTTTTGTTTAGTTTTATGATACTTTTAATTCTGATTTTATTAACTTTTTTTCCTTTTAGTTACCTGATTGGATTCTAGATGGAGTGAATTTTACTTTGTTGGGTGTTGGGTTTAATTCCTTAAATGTTTTGTGATGCAGTGAAATTACTTAGTGTCGGTTGGATCCTTCCAAGGCTTACTTTTAGGTTTTGTTAAGGTGGGTCCAGAGAAGTCTTTAATCTCAGGCTAATTTTGCCCCACTGCTGAAGCAGCAGCCTTCTGGGGACTTTACTCAGTGTCCCATAGAGCAGGAGGACATTCACTCTGGCCGGTTGGAGCACAGACTGTTCCCAGTCCTGTTTGAGTTTTAATGATTGTCCTGCACACACCTCTTTCTGCTGTTTCTTTCCCTGGTTTGGGGTCATTCCTCAGTCAATCTTGAGCACATCCAGAGTTCCAAGCCTGTGTGGCTCCCTTTGCTGTGGCACGTTGCCCTGAAAATTCTAGTTTCCTGGTCTCCCCAAACTCCGTTCTCTGTCTCCTCAACTCCTTGGACCACAAGCTCTCTCTGGATTCCCACACCCTGCACTGTGATCAGGGACTACTTCCATGTGGGAAGGTGAGGCTGTTGTAGGGCTCACTTTGTTTGTTCTCAGGGGTCTCTGTTCTGAGCTGTCCTTTGTCCAGTGTCTGGAAATTGACCATTGTTTCATACATCTTACCCAGTTTACTAGTTGTTTGAGGTAAGGAGGGCAAATCTGGTGCCCATTACCCCTTTGTGTCTAGAAACAGAACTTGAAACTCAGTTTTTACCAGGCTGCTTTTTTTAACCAGGTCACTCCTTGGGCCCATGCTCAGAACCTGTTCACGCCTGTCCCCCTCCTGCCTTCCCCCCATGCTGCCTGCTGCAGAATGCAGACGCTGTCACCTTGGAGTAGATACCTATCTTCATACACTGGCCACTGTGGCCTGCCTCCCCACCTCCTCCCTGACTCCAGTTCACTTTACTGCTGAGGACCTGCTTGCCCCACCTCTTCTGTGTCCCCCCAACCCCCACCTTTTTTTTTTTTTTTAGTATTTATTTATTTATTTGGCTGTGCTGGGTCTTAGTCGCGACAAGCAGGATCTTCGTTGCTGCGTGAAGGGTCTTCAGTTGCAGCGCGTGGGATCTTTTTAGTTGCGGCATGAGGGATCTAGTTCCCTGACCAGAGATTGAACCCGGGCCCCCTGCATTGGGAGTGCAGAGTCTTCCGCTGGACCATCAGGGAAGTCCCTGCCTATCTTCTAATGCATCCCTGTCATGACTGTATGTGGCCTGGGCTGCTCTTTGTTCTCTTCTCATGGGACAGGCACTGGGTCTCCAACCTCTTGGCGTGCCCAGCTGGAGAGGTAAGAAGCCCTGGCCGGCAGAATACTGGGGTTCCAGAGGAGGAGTCACATAAGGGAAGTCATTTGGGACTTTCAGGACACTTGGAACCAGAGTGACCGAGTTGGGGGGGTTACCCCGAGACCAGGGGCCAGTGTTGGGGGAAAGTGGGAGAAGGTTGCGAGGGGGTGGGCTGGGATGTGGCCCCAGGAGGGTAAGGGAGCAGGGGTCTGGCAGGAAAGAGTGGGGGGCAAGCAGGAAGGACACGGAGCAGTACAGGGTCCTTCCTTAGGGTGCAGTGAGGGCTTCCTGTCTGGGTTTGGGGCCTTTTGCAGTGATGGGACTTGAATAGGGTTTGAGGCTCTTTGTATTATATTTCAAGTTCTGTAAGTTGGCCAGAATTTATGGCCTCAGCCTGTGCCCCCACTGTAGCACCTATACGTGGGCTGCCCAGTTAGCTGGGCCCTCCCAGGCCAGGCTGCGTGGCAATTCCTGGCTGAGTTGTGGTGTGTGCGTCGGGGCTATAAGACAGATGGTGTCTACAGCCCTATCTTCTGCGCTCAGGAGGTCACCCGAGGTTATCTCTGCTACTGAGGTCCTCAGTCACCCAAAAACGCAAGTGGACTGACTCCCATCCTGGGTGAGAGAGAATATGTGTGTCATTCCAGGAGTTGGTGACTTTCAAGGACGTGGCCGTGGACTTCACCCAGGAGGAGTGGGGACAGCTGGACTCCCCTCAGAGGGCCCTGTACCGGGACGTGATGCTGGAGAACTACCAGAACCTTCTTGCCCTGGGTAAGATGGCTCCCAAGGTGAGGAGGCCGCAGTCTGGGCATCCACCAGTCTGTATGTGTTCCTGAGTCTTCCTTGTGGTATATGTCCCAGGCCCTTGTGGCACCAACTGGCATCTTTACCTGGAAGTGTGGCTGGTCCTGGGGTGGGGCCCAGAGGAAAGGGAGGGGGTGGACAGGGCCCTGGAAGCCCAGCCTGCCCTAGATGGGGCATGTCAGTACCTGTGGGGTCCTCAGACACACATGTCAGTATGGGTTCCATGTCTCAGGCCCCCTTCCTTGAAGTTGGCACCACCTCTCCGTGCCTCAGGCCGCTGGGGCCACTCCAGGGCTGCTGGGCTTGTGGGCTGGTCTGGAGAGCACAGCACCCAGAGCCACGCAGCTTTCTCCCTTCGCACAGGGCCTCCCGTCTGCAAGCCAGATGTAATCTCTCACCTGGAACGAGGCGAGGAGCCATGGTGGGCGCCTAGAGCTGTCCCTGGAGGGGCTGGTCCAGGTGAGTGGGATGCAGTGGGAGGATGTAGAGCCCCACCCCCACTGCCCCATGGGGCCTGCTTTCCTTCCGCGGTCCACTGCCCTGCTCCGTCTGCACCTGCTCAGTGCCCCTCCTGCTCCTCTGTCCTCCCCCGACCCCCTGGCTCTTTTCAGCATCCCCTGGCTTCTCCAAGCCTCCTTTCCCTCTTTCTTCCTCCTCTTCCCTGCTCGCCAGCCTGCCTGCCTTGCCCTGAGTGCTCCCCTCTGCACAGCCCTGAGCTTGCGCTCTCTCTCTCCCCCTGCTGATCTCTACTCTCTCTCCTGCACTTACCTGTTCTCCCGGCAGATCTCAGCCCTGAGCCCCAGCGCCGCACCTCCGCCTGCTCTCAGAAGGTAGTATCTCCATTTCTTACAGAACCAGAATGGGAGCCGGGGCCTGAGGTGGAGGAGCCATGGTCTCAGCAGCTGTGCGTTTACAAAGAAGAACCGTCATGGGAGCTGATCGCAGGTGGGCTGGCGAGGTCCGGTCTCCACAGCCCCGGTCCTGGTGACAGGGGCGCCCAGGGGGCCCTGGCGACTGCTCTGTCACAATGTGAGGCCGCCAGCACCAGGGACGGTCCCACAGAGGAGCACCGATGGGGCCATGTGGTGTCTGAGGAGGCTCTTGGCCGGAGGTGTGCCCTCCTGGCCCAGCCCAGCCTTCCCGCAGAAGGAGCCTCTCCGGACGGCTGCGTGGGGAGCGTGCAGTCCAGCAGAGTCAGGCATCGGAGCCCGGGTGCCGGGAGCGGCCCGTTCACGTGTGGCGAGTGCGGCAAGGCCTTCCAGCGAAGCGCGGCCCTGGCACTGCACCGGCGGTGGCACGCGCGAGAGAAGGCCTACAAGTGCGGTGAGTGTGGCAAGGCCTTCACCTGGAGCACCAACCTCCTGGAGCACCGGCGTGTCCACACCGGCGAGAAGCCCTTCCTCTGCGGCCAGTGCGGCAAGGCCTTCAGCTGCCACTCATCCCTTAACGTGCACCGGCGCGTCCACACGGGCGAGCGGCCCTACAAGTGCGGCGCCTGTGACAAGGCCTTCAGCTGCAGCTCGCTGCTCGGCATGCACCTGCGTGTCCACACCGGTGAGAGGCCCTACCGGTGCGGCGAGTGCGGCAAGGCCTTCAACCAGCGGACACACCTGACGCGGCACCGCCGGATCCACACTGGTGAGAAGCCCTACCGGTGCGGCGCGTGCGGCCGGGCCTTCGCCTGCCACTCATCCCTGACGGTGCACGAGAAGCTCCACAGCGGGGACAAGCCCTTCCAGTGCGGCGACTGCCAGAAGGCCTTCAGCAGCCGCTCCCGCCTGACGCTGCACCAGCGTGCCCACACGGGCGAGAAGCCCTTCAAGTGCAGCCAGTGCGGCAAAGCCTTCAGCTGCCACTCGTACCTGGTGGTGCACCAGCGCGTCCACAGTGGCGAGAAGCCCTTCCGCTGCAACGAGTGCGGCAAGGCCTTCAGCTCCCACTCCTACCTGATTGTGCATCAGCGCGTCCACACCGGCGAGAAGCCCTTCGACTGCAGCCGCTGCTGGAAGGCCTTCAGCTGCCACTCGTCGCTCATCGTGCACCAGCGCGTCCACACCGGGGAGAAACCCTATAAGTGCGGCCAGTGCGGCCGGGCCTTCAGCCAGAATCACTGTCTCATTAAACATCAAAAGACCCACTCCGCGGAGAAGCCCTTTAAGTGTCATGAGTGCGGCGAGGTGTTCGGCTGGAGCGGCCCCCTGGCAGAGCACCGCAGGCTGCACAGCAGGGAGAAGCCCTTTGCCGTCCAGTTCGACAAGCGCTTGCTGAGCACTTACTGCATGCCTGGCAGCCTACTGGGTACAGGGGGCTCCGGCGGGAGCAGTGTGGGCCCTGTTGATGCCCTAGGCGTGGCTGAGCTCCTGGGCGTGGTCCCACCCTTGGCCGGAAGGAGTTCCCCGTGGGCAGCAACCCCAGAAATTAACTCATGTGTGCGAGAGACACCCACCTGCCCACCCGGAAACACCCCTTAAGGCTGTCACCTCCTGGGAAGGGATCCACCGTAGGAGAGGAGAATTGAGCACGTTTGAGGATGTACTGTCTTCCTGGTTTTTTTTTTCCGGTCTTTTCTTTGATGGGTTTGGAAGTCACTGAGGGGGGACAGATCTTCCCTGCATATGAAAAGAAGGTATGTCAGTCATGTGTCCTTGGACAGCCTCTTGGTGTGATTTCGATCTGGAATTTCCTTTGTAAACTCTTACGTTTAGAATGATAATTAAAAAAAAAACTGAATTATGAACAGTATTACTTTTAAGTGAACGTTATATTCCAGGAGAGGAGAATAAGCTCAGGTGGTAGGCATTTGGGAAAAAGCAAATTTCCTGGACTCGCTTCACTCACATAGCTCTGCTGCAGAGTCACGTTGTTAGTCATGCTGTTAGCGCAGCTGTCTTGGAACCTGGCCCAGCATCCACATAGCCGGGTCCTAACATGCCAGCCTCATGCCTGGCCACCTCGTCCATGCTGGAAGCTGGAAGGACACAGGGGTGTGCCTCCAGGGTGCAGTGTTGGCACACAGGTGTCTGGAAGCACACCTCCACCCCGGCTGGCAAGGCCACCTGCAGGGCCGCTCAGGTACCACGTAGCTCAGCCCTGTGAGAGGAGCTGGGCCCCGTGCTCCCCGGAGAAGGAAAAAGACGGTGTTCATCTGGGACTCATGGCATTTCTGCTCAGTTCTAAGCAGATATAAGCTGCCTTCTCAGTGATGATACTTCACATTTGTATAAAGTGCTAGAGTTTATGAAATGCTTTTTAGTATACTTTTTAAACTATGGAGGCAAAATAACCACTTTACAGAAAATACAGAATTAAGGGGAAAATACCCATAATTCTTAATAAAATTGCATTTCGCACTTCGGTACGTTACCTTCTGCTTTTTGATATTGCATTTTTACATTAAACACGGTGTATACAGTCAACATTCTAATCTTTTTCCCCTGCTTACCTGCATAGCAGGACTTCTTTTTCCCGCAGAGCCTCACTGTCTTTGGAGCTGTCCTTCTGGATGGGGGCGAGATGTTCTATTAGCTGTTTTTTTGTTGGATGCAGAAGTTATTTCCAAGTTTTCACTGTTACAAGTCATTCTTCATATAGCATCTTTTTGCATTATCCTTCTTTAGCGTTGTCTTAGAGTAGATTTCTAGAAGTGAGAGTTTTGAGATAAAGGAAATGAACAGCCTAAGGCATCGTTTTAGTATATTTTTGGTTGTGTGATAACAAAAGTAATACCATCTCAGTGTGAGGAGAACCGACAGTAGTTGTCAGGCGCGTCCAGGTCCCGGAGGCCGACGCTGCTCCGAGCTGGGTCCAGACGGGCTTGCTTCTGGGTGCCAGGGCGATGATCCCAGGTGTCCACCCCCATCGTTCCTCCAGCGTCCTTGGGGCTGGTCTCAGGCCCTTCCTCCATGACAAATAGGGAAAGTTCTATTGGACAACTGCATTGGCAAAAGATAGATAAAATCTCGGTTTGATTCATTTTCATACTCATTTTTCCTATTTTAAAAGAAATTCAAATGCAAACATCTTGGGGGACCCCGGACACCACACCTGCTGTCTGCCTGGCGGGGCTGTTAACGCCCTCAGCTGAGAGCAGCACCTTGCTCTTTGATAACCGGTGAGGTTGAAATGGAATGTGTTCTTATTGTTGGTCTTCTTGAAAACTGTTTGAAATACCCTTTGGCCCCCTTCCATTGAAGTCTCGATGTTCTTTTATTTACATATAAACTTTGTTTTCTGATCATACACGTAATACATGTATATTGAAGAAATTTGGGGGAAAAAATCAATTTTATAAGAATTAAAATGACCCTTAGAATCAGTTCACAGGTCATGACCTGGAGATGGATTTCTTTCTGTTTTTTTCCTCTGCGTGTATACACGTCTTTTTTTTTTTTACAAAAAAAGTGTAAAGGGCTGTATTATAGGCAAAATTATTTAAGTCAATAAATAAATTTTTAAGGAATTGTACATGTTCTGATTCATTCCACTGCCAATCACCTTAGCTTCTCCAGTATTAGAGTAATAATCTTCAAAATAACCCTTTCAAAAAAGAATTTTTGCTCAATCCATAGTTGTGAGAGTCAGTCCACAATTTTTTTAGTTGAGCTTCTTTGATCTTTAATGGAACATTGACACACTTCAAAAATTCCCCTCTGGGCTTCCCTGGTGGCACAGTGGTTAAGAATCTGCCTGCCAATGCGGGGGACACGGGTTTGAGCCCTGGTCCGGGAAGATCCCACATGCTGCAGAGCAACTAAACCCGTGCGCCACAACTACTGAGCCTGCGCTCCAGAGCCCTTGAGCCACACTCCTGAAGTCTGGCACCTAGAGCCCGTGCTCTGCAACAAGAGAAGCCACCGCAATGAGAAGCCGCGCACTGCAATGAAGAGTAGCCCCTGCTCACTACGACTAGAGAAAGCCCGCGCACAGCAACAAAAACCCAATGCAGCCAAAAATAAATAAAATTAATTAAAAAAAAATTCCCTCCTGTAGTCTTTGAGAACCAGTTTCCTCAAGCAATTTACTGTACAACCATGTTTAGGGTCAGGAGATGGATCTGCCTGGTTCTGAATTTTAGACACCCTCTAAACATGCATTAAGTTCAAATGATATTCACTCCTAAGCTATCATACCCTAGAACAGTTAGCATATACCAATACGTAAGATAAAAAAAAGTTTGACTGTTAGGTTTTTCACAGTTTATTAGCAACTCTATCTTGTAGTTCTTCTCCACAGATCTAGTCCTGTGAGAAAGGAAACCACATAGTTACTCTGTGAGGCGTTTCCAACCATGTAAGTCTACAGAAAAAGCCCCGTCGATATAGACCTCAACTACACACGCTTTTTCTTTTCTTTTTTTTTTTTTGGCTGCACTGCACAGCTTGCAGGATCTTCGTTCCCTCACAAGGGATTGAACCTGGGCCATGGCAGTGAAAGCACTGAGTCCTAACCACTGGACCGCCCAGGAATTCCCAATCACTTTTTATATTTGCCATTTTGATACATTAAGAATGTTACTTGTTCCTGGGCTTCCCTGGTGGCGCAGTGGTTGAGAGTCCTGCCGATGCAGGGGACATGGGTTCGTGCCCTGGTCCGGGAGGATCCCACATGCCATGGAGCGGCTGGACCCGTGAGCCATGGTCGCTGAGCTTGCAGGTCCGGAGCCTGTGCTCCGCAACGGGAGAGACCACAACAGTGAGAGGCCCATGTACCGCAAAAAAAAAAAAAAGAATGTTACTTGTTCCTGGGCTTCCCTGGGCTTCCGCCTACAAATGCAGGGGACACGGGTTTGAGCCCTGGTCCGGGAAGATCCCACATGCCACGGAGCAACTAAGCCTGTGCACCACAACTACTGAGCCTGCGCTCTAGAGCCTGCAAGCCACAACTACTGAGCCCACGTGCCACAATTACCGAAGCCCACGTGCCTAGAGCCCGTGCTCCGCAAAAAGAGAAGCTGCGCGATGAGAAGCCTGTGAACTGCAACGGAGTAGCCCCCGCTCGCCCCAACTAGAGAAAGCCTGTGCACAGCAACAAAGACCCAATGCAGCTATAAATAAATAAATAAATAGATAGATCTAAGGATGTTACTTGTTCTTGTTTTTGACTGTTCTTCTCTTCATATGAATTGTCTAGTCCTATCTTTTGTCCACTATTCCATTCTTTTGTGTACACACATGCATGCAATATATAAGCAGTACAAATATACATATCAATATATACACATGTATACATATAATACATACACGTATACATATATACAATATATGCACATACATATCAATATATACACATATATGCTTATATACAATGCACACATATGCAATATGTACACACATATTTGGAATGTTCATTTTGTTACTGCATTTTTAGTGTACAGAGGTTTTTGAAGTCTGTGTAATCAGGTCTATCCAATTTTTCTTTATATTTTTACTTGGCTCTAAGAAAGCCCTTCCTTAAGTCCCTTTTTGGTTATATTATACATTTAACTCTTAAATCCATCCATCTGGGATGTAAAAATCCAAGGTCCCTGCATCGTTCTTGAACTGCATTCCTTACTGGTCCATAGGCTTGTCTTTTCCATTATTGCTGCTCCATCATTCACTTTCATAGATGGTAGGACTGGAACCACATTTTAAGAAGGTCTAAAAAAAAATTTTTTTTTGTGGCCTCTCCCATTGCGGAGCACAGGCTCCGGACGCGCAGGCTCAGCGGCCATGGCTCACGGGCCCAGCCACTCCGCGGCATGTGGGATCTTCCCAGACTGGGGCACTAACCCGTGTCCCCTGCATCGGCAGGCAGACTCTCAACCACTGCGCCACCAGGGAAGCCTGAAATTTTTTTAATCTATTCTTCAGGTGACTCAGGAATCATTTTCTTGGAACTCAGCCTCTTCATGCCCCTGCATATCTCATTGGGATTTGGATTAGAATTGACCAGTTTGTGAAGAATTAACATAGTTCTATATGATATAAGGTCTTCACATCAGAGAATGTGGTAAATGACTGTCCATTTAAGTCTGCATCTAACCATCAGAAAAGGTTTATAGTTTTCTTCATATATGTTCATATATTTATTCTTAAATTCAGTCTAATTTTGTGGGGTTTGTAAATTGGCTCTGTGATAACATATATAGAACAACTCTTGACTGTGGGTACACTTTTGTCTATTTATTTTACACCAAGCAGCTTTACTGAGTCACTCCAGAAGGCCTCTAACAGTTTATTGGTTTATCCTGTTTTCTAGGTAAAGTCATTACTTGGAAATAAAAAGCTTGCCTCTCCTTTTCATATAGATAGCCTTTTATTTCATCTCTTCTTAAAACCCACATTGCCCAGCACTTTAGAGCAACACTGTGTTGGTGGCAGTGGTCACCTGTGGCAGACTTTGTCTGGGGTGAGGAGCAATACATGTCCACCTCAACGCTTTGGCCTCTAAAACCATCACAGCTGTGGTGGTCACAGTTCTGACCAACAAAGTCTGCTACAGATTTTGGGGAAGTCTGCTTTCCTGATAGGAGATACTGCTCCTTCCTCCTCCTCTCTTCTTCCTGGAACTTGGATGCAATGCCTGGAGGTGTGGTAGCCATTTTGCAACCATGAGATAATTGAGGACAAAGACCCACATAGTGGAATGGAAAATAAAAGGATCCTAGGCCTTGAATGGAATTTGAGCAGCCATTTCAGCCATTGACATTCAACTTCCTGAGTTCTTGTTATGGACTTTAGCTGCTTTTCTCACATTTGTCCTTCCCCACAATTGTATTCCTCACTGATACAGCATCTGGTTGCTTGATGCACAGCAAACCAAAATGCTGAGACGCCCAGGTCTGTAGCCAAGCGAGGAGAACTAGCCTCAGATCTGTCTCCTCAAAGGCAAGGAGCTGGGGTACTTATGGGATGAAGAGTAAAGCAGCAGGGCAGTCTGAGTGGTGGGGAAAGGTGATTGGAAAAAGGTCTTATGACTGTTGTTTTGTGCAGGTGTAACTAAGCTACAGGCCTCTGCATGTTCAAAAAGTCACTGAGGACTTCCCTGGTGGCACAGTGGTTGGGAATCCACCTGCCAATGCAGGGGACACAGGTTCGATCCCTGGTCCAGGAAGATCCCACATGCCATGGAGCAGCTAAGCCCACTCGCCACAACTGCTGACCCTGTGCTCTAGAGCCTGCGTGCCACAACTGCTGAAGCCTGTGCACCTAGAGCCCATCCTCTGCAACAAGAGAAGCCACCACAATGAGAAGCATGCACAGCACAACGAAGAGTGGCCCCCGCTCGCCGCAACTAGAGAAAGCCTGCATGTAGCAACAAAGACCCAAAGCAGCCAAAAATAAATAAAATAAAATAAATAAATTTAAGAAAAAAGAACTAAAGATTGTACCTCACCAAGTATATAACGTGTTAGCATAGAAGTAAAATGCATTAAAAAAAAACTTTTTTTAAAGAAAGAAAGAAATGTCATAAAAAAAAAAAAGTTGCCGAGCAGACATTCATGCAGGCCCCCTTGGAGGGTGGCTGGTCTTATCCAGTCATAACCATCTCAGCTCAAACTAGACACTGCTGACTCCAAGGTCCTTGAAAACAACTTGGGCAAACACCTTAATGTTTAGGCTCCAGGCCACCTGGAGGGCATGCAGTCTTAAAATGGCCTTGATGAGTGATGGCAAGTGGAATAGATTTGACTGATTATACACAGGTTCAGCCCACTGCCCATTTTTGATTGTTTCTCAACCTTGAGGAAGATGGACAATGGCCACTCTGGCCACTTCCTGCTGATAAGGGGTGTAGACCTAACAGGGGCTTGAGGAATGACACTGTTAAGCACTCATTTGAGAATATTCTCTTGTCTGGTTTCAAGTTAACATTTGATACCGGTAAACATATCACCCTCAGGCCAACTGTTAAGGCATTCATAGACCCAAAATTGGTCATTAAAACCAGACAGGGGAATTCCCTGGCATCCAGTGGTGAAGACTCAGTGCTTCCGCTGCAGTGGGTGTGGGTCTGACCCCTGGTCAGGGAACTAAGATCCTGCATGACCCGTGCTGTGGCCAAAGAAAAAAATAACCACAAAGTGCACCCTAAGGGGGCACACAGAATGTCAGATATATTGTTAAAATTTAGGCTCTTACTGGGACTTCCTTGGTGGCGCAGTAGTTAAGAATCCACCTGCTGGTGCAGGGGACACAGGTTCAATCCTTGGTCCAGGACGATCCTACATGCTACAGAGCAACTAAGCCCGTGTGCCACCACTGAGCCTGCACTCTAGAGCCTGCAAGCCACAACTACTGAGCCCATGTACCTAGAGCCCATGCTCCGCAACAAGAGAATCTACCGCAATGAGAAGCCCGCACACCACAACGAAGAGTAGTCCCCGCTCGCCACAACTAGAGAAAGCCCGTGTGCAGCAAAGAAGACCCAACACAGCCAAAAATTAAAAATAATTAATTAATTAATTAAAAAAATTTA